GTATTAGCCACCTTGTTAGAGTTTAAGAATCCTTCGTGAAGTAAATCTTTGGCATACCTAGAATAATTTGTGTGAAGAATGGGGACATAGTAGCTCAAAGAAGGATAAAGAAACAGTATATATGTCTAATGAAGGGCCGCAAATAAAAGGACCCAGCTAAAATCTGAGACATTATCAAATTGAAGAACTTTTCTGATTATAAATGGTTTATATACAAATTATAACCATCTTATTTATTGAAATTTTAAGGTCAAGTGATAAAATAGGAGCCCAGACCCTATGTTCTACAATGCATACAGTGGTCTTAAAGTGTGTTTCTACTGGGGCCATTGTTGTGGCCCAGAGGTTAGTTAAGCCACACTTGCTCATATCCCATACAGGTTGGAGTCCTGGCTGCTCTGCTTCTGTCCCCACATCCCTGCTAATGTGTCTGGGAAAGAAGCAGAAGATAGCCCAAGTACTTGGGCCTCTACCACCTATGTAGGAAATCAGAATGGAAATTCTGGCTCCTGGCTTTGGCCTGACCCAATCCTGGCTGTTGTAGCCATTTGGGTAGTGAACTAGTAGATGAAAGATCACTACTTCTTCTTCTTCTTCTTCTTCTTCTTCTTCTTCTTCTTCTTCTTCTTCTTCTTCTTCTTCTTCTTCTTCTTTGACAGGCAGAGTATACAGTGAGAGAGAGACAGAGAGAAAGGTCTTCCTTCCATTGGTTCACCCCTCAATGGCCACTGTGGCTGGCGCGCTGTGGCCGGCGCACCGAGCTGATCTGAAGCCAGGAGCCAGGTGCTTCTCCTGGTCTCCCATGTGGGTGCAAGGCCCAAGCACTTGGGCCATCCTCCACTGCACTCCCGAGCCACAGCAGAGAGCTGGCTGGAAGAGGGGCAACTGGGACAGAATCTGGCGCCCCAACCGGGACTAAAACCTGGGGTGCCAGCGCCGCAGGCGGAGGATTAGCCAAGTGAGCTGCAGCGCCGGCCACTTTTTCTTCTTAATCTCTCCCTTTCTCTCTGCAAGCCTGCCTTTAAAATAAATAAGTAAGTAAATAAATAAATAAATCTTTTTTTTTTAAATAGTTTGTTTCTACTGCCAATTCAGTAGTCAGACCAGCAGTTTCCAACTAGTGGTTAACACCTCCCGGGGATATCTGGCAGTGTGTGGACATCTGCATTTGTCACAGTTGAGGGTGTGCTACTGGGGCTGCTGAGTAGAGACCAGAGCTGCTGCTAAGTATCTTGTGGTGCTCATCCTTCCAAAAGAATCACCTGACTCCAGGTATGAAAATAATGCTGCTGTTGAGAAACTCCTGTGGATCAGGCTTTTAACAAATTCTCTGCCATTTTCTCTCTCTCTTTCTTTCTTTCTTTCTTTCTTTCTTTCTTTCTTTCTTTCTTTCTTTCTTTCTTTCTTTCTTTCTTTCTTTCCTTCCTTCCTTCCTTCCTTCCTTCCTTCCTTCCTTCCTTCCTTCTTTCTTTCTTTCTTTCTTTCTTTCTTTCTTTCTTTCTTTCTTTCTTTCTTTCTTTGACAGAGTTAGACAGTGAGAGAGAGAGAGAGAGAGAGAGAGACAGAGAAACATCTTCCTTCCGTTGGTTCACCCCCCAAATGGCTGCAATGGCTGGTGCGCTGCACCGATCCGAAGCCAGGAGCCAGGTACCTCTTCCTGGTCTCCCATGTGGGTGCAGGGGCCCAAGCACTTGGACCATCCTCCACTGCTTTCCCAGGCCACAGCAGAGAGCTGGACTGGAAGGGGAGCAACCAGGACTAGAACCCCATACCCATATGGGATGCCGGCGCTGCAGGCGGAGGATTAACCTAGTGCACCATGGCGCCGGCCCCCCATTTTCTTCTCATCTTTATTCCTCCCCTGTCTTCCTCACAGCTCTACCTTGCCTTTTCTTTCTTTGCCTTATTCTTTCCTCTTGTTTTTCTTCACCTTGAGTTTCTTTTTCTTCACCTTGAGTTTCTGATCTCACATGAGCTAGATATAGGTATGGTCTAGTGAAACAGTAATTTCTGGACAAATGGATAAAAGCTCATATGGATCCCTGGTACTAACAAATATGGATTCATGAAAGTAAAATTCAATGAATGTAAAAGAAAGTGGCTTGTTTGGATCTCAAACTTTCTTTTGGATCTTGGGGGCTAAGGAACCAGAAGTTGTGAAAAAAGAAGCATGGTCAAGTTCGTTATTCAGAATGTTCTGGCCCACACTGTCTCCTGGCACCTTCCTCAGGTTTGATGTTCATTCCCTCTTCAGCCATTTATCCTGCTACACGCCTAAAAAGACTTTTCTCAGGTTAGAGTGTCCTCCTGTGGGCTAAACCCAGAGTTAGCAGCACTTCCCATGCAGCAATGCCAGTGTCCCACTCGGATTTTTGAGTCTGGTGTTGGACACCAATGCTGTCCTTTAAGGAAGGCGTAGAGTGGCTCAGGTGTACTGAGACTTGCTGATTTCTCTTAGAAATTGCCACTCGGAATGGAGGGTGCAGGTCAGATGATCCTTCCAGTTACAGCCTCTGGAGAATGACGGTGTTGGGGACAAGCTGATGGCTGTCTATCACCGTGGGAGTGAGCTCCTTGAAGGGTAGAAATGCGTGCTTCCTGTATTCACTGTGCAGAACCTACAGCAGGCCTCAGGTGAAGCACGTGCCTCATGGAAGCTGGGCCTCCTGCTTTTAATTTCAAAAACTTACCAGGCGGTTCACAAAATATTTCTAATGCTTAGAGTTAACACTGAATTAATGTCTTAAACTTGCTTCTACAGGCTTCTAAGGAGGTTGATGCTAATAAAGTTAATATAAAATGTCCAACATCACTCAGCCAGCAAGCAGCGGTGCCATCAGAAACCCTGGCCGTTTTCATAGTGTCTGTGTCACTGTGCAAGGAGTGATACCCCAGAAGTCTTGTTGGGGAAATAACAGAAGTACATCCTGCAACCCAGAGCACCTCTCCAAAAGGTAGAAAAGAAGGCAGGTTTGTTATTGAATCAGCATTCAACCTGAATGTGATGCCCAGCACAGACAATCCCCTAGAGAGCTGGCAAAGACAGCAAGAAATCTTATCCTTTTGTATAGCTAAGCAGCTGCATCTAATTGCATAGATTTCTCAAGATAAAAATAACTAGTCCTCAAGTAGTAAGACTTGACAGCTCCATTCGTCACATGTAGCAATTGAGGTAGCCACCTGTGCTTTTTAAGCCCCTTTGTCCAAAAACATTGTGACAGGTGGTAGGTTTGCAGCTTGCAGGAGGGTGCCAGCTGCAGGTGAGCTCCTAAGAGCACTATCTCCCCTGATTATTACATTTGGGATCTGCGGCTCCTGGGTCCTTAACAAAGAAAATCCCAGGTTGTAAAAGTGGCAACAGGCTTATTGGGTTTTTAAAAAGAGTTATATACATCTTAAAGGGACAGAGAAAGAACTCAAAATAACAAGTTTTCTTACTTAAGTACTCTAAGGAAAGGAAGCAGGAGATTGCCTTTCTTCTTCTGCACCAGAGCGAGTTAAGTTGTTATCCTTCTTAACTTGTAATTGCCCTTCATTTTCATTTAGAAAAAAGAAGTTCCATATAGCGAAGCTCCCATGGGATACTTTTGAAGTCGGTTACTGGGAATAGTATGAGGTAAAAAACAAGAAAACACATAACATTGGGAATCTGAAAGTAAGAAAAATGAACCACTACAGTCATTAATTTTTTTGCATGGAGGTCAATATTGTCTATGGTTAAAGGACTCAAAATGAGAAATTGAATTCTATGACCTTCTATGAGTGTAAGAAGTTGATTTGGAAATTTTTAAATGAAGTTTCTCAGAATGGAGGTTCTTTCTCTTCACAAATGATTATAGGAACACTAACACGTCTAGAAATGCATATTATCAATATAAACGAAGATCTTCCTGTTGTAAAAGCACCATAGTTTGTTCGTATCTCTTTTCTTGCACTTACACATGGAAACAGAACATTATAAAGCTATTGTATGCCAACCCTATTACAGTTAGCACTGTGGTTAGCTACAATCAAAAAATTCATAAAATAGTTTATTAAAATTTTTCATGCAAAAATAAATGCAGATGTGAGACTTACTATCTAATAGACTAAGTGCATAGGATTAGGAAGGGGTTGTGCTTTCATTTATTGTAAAGTTATCATTTCCTTGTTTTAGGAAGAGAAAAGGAGAAAGGGGATAGAGAAAGATGTGATGCTTGTACCAGGAAAGCAAAACATTATAGAAAATCCCTAGCAAATTTCATAAAAATGTAAATTTATACAGTGGTCACTTGGCAGTGTTGCTGTAGTTTTCTGAGTAAATTAAGTTCTTGAAGAAGCAGAGAGACAGAAAGAGAAAAAGAAAGAGACCTCCTATCTGCTGGTTCATTCACCCAATGACTGCAATGGCCAGGACTGAAGCAGGCCAAAGGCACCAACAAGGAATTCAATCCAGGTCTCCACATGGGTAGTGGGGACCCACATACTTGAGCCATCAACTATTGCCCCTCAGTATATACATTGTCAGGAATCTATAATTGGGAGGAAAGTTGGGACTCAAACCCAGGCACTCTGATCCAGGATATGGAGCCATTTGTTAAACTAATAGGCCAAACACTTATCCCACCTAGCCAGTGTCTTATTACATTTCATGACTCAAAACTCTTCTATATGGCAATCCCTATCTCCAAGTGAGGGTATGAAATGTATTTATTGCTCATTTATTTTTTTAAAAGCTGAACATGTAGCTGCTCAAATCAAAAATTAAAGTTCTGTTTATAATAACTGGAAGAGAATGAAGATTAGGTGGACAAAAGGCAGTTTCTATCTTTCTGGTGAGGATTAAAAATATTAGGCAGAGAATAAATGCTTAAGGAGTCAGTGTAGGACTACACAGTAGGGATAGCATTTATTTAGGAGCATTGACAGTAGTAGTATTTATAGAGGCATTTACTGAGTATATATGCTTTGCTTAGGACTTCAGATAATTTTATATATTTTATATTATTATATTCATGGCATCTCAACAAGATAGATAGCTATTCTTGTTGGCATTTATTTATTTGAAAGAGTTATAAAGAGGTAGAGACACAGAGAAAGAGATCTTCGATCTGCTGGTTCACTCCCCAAATAGTCGCAATGGCTGGAGCTAAGTTAATCCAAAGCCAGGAGCCAGGAGCTTCTTCCAGGTCTTCTACATGGGTGCAGGGACCCAAGGACTTGGGCCAACCTCCTCGCTTTCCCAGGTGCATTAGCAGGTAGCCAGATTGAAGTGGAACATCCGGGACTAGAACTGACATCCACATGGGATGCTGGCGCTGCAGGACGGAGCTTTAACCTGCTGCTCCACAGGGCTGGCTCCTAACATTCATTTATAAGGTAAAGTAGGTAAGGAAAATAATAGCCTAAGCACATAAAGCTAAAAAGCTTTTTTAAAAATGATCTATTAATTTGAAAGGTGGAGTGACAGAGAATTGGAGAAACAGAGAGAAAGGGATCTTCCAAATGCTGGTTTACCCTACAAATGGCCACAAAGACCAGGGATAGGCCAGGTCAGTTGCAGGCAACAATTTAATCCACTGTGTCATAATGCCAGTTCCAAAGTTGGAAAGATTTAAAGATAGAATTTTAACTTGGGTTTTGTGCTTTGCACTACCTATTATCTTGCCTTACAGAATAGAAATTCTTCTGGTACATAAATGGAACAGTGCCATGTGGAGGAAACGGGTAACTTCTATCTTCTTCAGCTCAGCCTTGGAAACTTGAAGTTACTGGAAGCTGCCATTCAAAGCCAAAGGCACAAACAAACCCTGTGCAGCTGTAGGCCCCTATAGTTAATGTTTAGGGACTCTCAGAGCCACCAATGAAGGAAACTGTTTTGGAATCACAACTAGATTATATTGAAGTACACTTTGGGCATCTCTTAAACAAAAACCGTAACTTACTTCTAATTATTTTTGGTTTACTTCTGCTTTTTACTACAGCTTAATACACAGAAGTTCTGTCATGTCCAGAATACTAGAATCAAACTGTGAAACCATCTGTTTCTATCCCATTGTGTGAACTATTCATTCTGGCTTTGGTCTTTATTGTTGTTGTTTTTAAAATTTATTTGACAGATAGAGTTAGAGAGTGAGACAGAGAGAGAGAGACAGAGAAAGGTCTTCCTTTCATTAGTTCACCCCCCAAATGGCCGCTATGCTAATCCGAAGCCAGGAGCCAGGTGCTTCTTCCTGGTCTCCCATGCAGGTGCAGGGGCCCAAGCACTTGGGCCATCCTCCACTGCCTTCCCGGGCCACAGCAGAGAGCTGGATTGGAAGAGGAGCAACCGGGACTAGAACTGACACCCCTATGGGATGCTGGCGCCATAGGCAGAGGATTAACCAAGTGAGCCACAGCGCTGGCCCCCTGGCTTTGGTCTTTAGGAATATGGAGTGACCAAGCAGAACTATGGTATACTCTGTCTGGTATCTTTCATTTGTCCTTGAATGTTGACTCCCTACTCCAGCTCATTACCTACCCTTGGAAGCTGTCTGCCCAAGTTGCTTCTGATTTGGAGTGAGCCACATTTCCAGAGACTTGTCTTATAGTAGATGGGTCTTGTTCTGCAGAGAATGTGGGAAATGTCCAGAAAGGCAGCCTTCATGAAGGGCTGAACTTGCTGCCATTGTTCATGCCAAGAGGTGTGTTGGGGAGAGGCTGGAAGCAGGTGGCAGTAGTGTGAGTGGGGCCTGCAGTGGGGTTTGGGTACAGGCAGCAGGTGCCCTGAGAGCACTGTGCTCCTGCACAGATGTAGTTGCCTTCATCCCCAGGCTGGGTCGCAGTGATGTGCAAGGAACTGTACTTCCTTGTATCACCAAATTGAACAGTCAGTCTCTTCTCTTTCTTCACTTCTCCGCCCTTGGCCATCATCATCAGGAGGACAGGCCCTTTCCCAGGCTCCTGTTTGTACCACTGAAAGGTAGTGAACACGCTCGAGGAGTTGCAGTACACAGTGACATCTTCTCCCTCCCGGGTGCTCAGAAACAGAGGAATCTGCCCCAGCTGCTGAGTGCTCAGCCCTGTTTAGAAACAAAGCGGAGGGGATTAGGGATTCTTCATCAACTTGAAACTATTTTTCTCTCCCCTTCTTCCACCATTACTCTTTCCCTTTCCTTCTTTAATTTCTCCTCCAAGGACTTTCTATTAATGTGATTGGAAACTTCTTAAACTCACATGCCATTTGAATCCAGACAATCTGCACGAAAAGCTTCAGGGACATCTTTTCTTCTTCCCACGTGGTAGCCACAGTCACTGACTTTAGTGGCCCCTTCAAGAGACTTTGCTGGCTAGAATACCACTTGCTGCTCCCCAGGTTGATCTCAGCAAAAGAGCAGAGGCCTCTTTGTGGCAGCCAATCAGATCACTAGTCCTCCACCCTCCCCTTTCTCCAACCCTGAACTCTGCTATGACTTTGGGGAAGAGTTTACCTTTTGAAATGCTACCCTCCTGTGGAGAGTTAGAGAAGTGGTTTACTTCTAACAAGCTTCTGTTTCTCCCAGTTTCACTTGGTATGCACATATATTGAGGTTTAAGTAGAAAGAGATTAGTCATCCTTTCAGACATGGCAAATGTGTTCTTTTAAAAACTGACCATTTTAAAGTCAGAGTAATTGGAGATAATAGAAATATCTGACTATCTGGTATCTTGGGCATGTTGAACTGTGTAATATCTGTGTGACTGTATTTGTATATTTGTGTGTGTGAGTGGTAATGAAACTATATTATATAACTCAGTCATGTGATATGGGTAAATACCCTGTCACATACCTATTTTTACCAAGCTAAAGATGACTATTTCTGTTGCATATTATTTAATTTAGAATACTTTCCTGACATCCTACTACATTACTCTGCCAATAGTTCCCTGGCTCATGCCAATAAAGTCTACATCACACTATATTATTATCACATTTCTTGTACTACCTACAAGTTTCCTGAAGGAAATACTATACTTTTTTAAATTCTGTGACCTCAAGAACTACTAGGAAGGAAAGCTTCAATAAATAGTTAATTAGTATTTAATTAGGGGCCCAGCAGTGTGGTGCAGCAGGTTAAGCAGCCATTTGCAGGGCTTGGCATCCCATATGGGTGCAGGTTCAAGTACTAGCTGTTCCACGTCCAATTCAACTCCCTATTAATCCACCTGGAAAAGGAATGGGAGATGGCCCAAACTCTGGACCCCTGTACCCACATGGGAGACCCAGAAGAAGCTCCCGGCTCCTGGCTTCTGATCAGCCCAGCTCTGGCTGTTGCAGTTATTTGGGGAGTGAACCAGTGGACGGAAGCCCTCTCTCTCTGTCTCTACACCCTCCCCTCAACACCAATCTTTCTGTAACAGCTGCACCAGTTCATGTCTGTGCACCTAACAACCAGCCAACCAGTGATGCTGGAGACTGGTTGGTAGAAATGACAAAGGGCTTGGTGCTTGTGACTGGGAGAAGCTTGTATGCTGGGACTGTGAAAACACTGTGGCTGCGTGGGAGGGTGCAGGATGTGGCTTGGACTTTGAGAAGTCACTGTGGGTGGCTCCACATGCTTGGGGCTCCTGATTTCCTGGTGAAGGTCATTGCTGTGGGATTGTGCTCACAATAAGGACTGCACAGATCCTTGTTGTGGTTCTTGGGGCAACATGGATTAATATTGGAACCACTGGGACTACTGCCCATGCACTGTCTCCTTTTAGGAGAGGAAGTGGGCATGAGACTATGCCAAAAAATGCAGAACAAAACTCTGTGATAAAAAAAAGGAGATTTAGCACACAAAACCTGGGTGTCACCTTGGACAACCTTCACCCTGGAACATTGAACAGAGCTCCCTGGCCTCACCTAACACTCACTCCTGGGTATTCACTGAAGAGGCAGACACTCCCCTAAACCAAAGAGGCATAGTCCAAAGATAAAAGCCATCACAGGGGGGGAAAAAAAGCAAAAAAGAAACCAACAAGTATCTCTACAAATGTCAAATAATAAATGAAGCAATTCAAGAAACAAGAATAGGGAAACAATATGATACCCTCAAAAGAACACAATACTTCAGCCAGTGCCGCAGCTCACTAGGCTAATCCTTTGCCTGCGGCGCTGGCAATCCAGGTTCCAGTCCCAGTTGGGGCGCTGGTTCTGTCCTGGTTGCTACTCTTCCAATCCAGCTCTCTGCTGTGGCCCGGGAAGGCAGTGGAGGATGGCCCGAGTGCTTGGGCCCTGCACCCGCATGGGAGACCAGGAGGAAGCACCTGGCTCCTGGCTTCAGATCAGTGCAGCGCACTGGCCATGGCAGCCATTTGGGGGGTGAACCAATGGAAGGAAGACCTTTTTCTCTGTCTTTCTCTCTCACTGTCTAACTCTGCCTGTCAAAAAAAAAAAATACACACAACACTTCAATACTAGAATGTGAAGATGAGGAGGTTGAAAAAATGCCAGAAATTTAATTCAAAAAATTGATCATAGTGAACTAATGAAATTCATACATGATGTGAAAGAAAATTTCTCCCATGATAAAGAAAAATCAAAATGAATCCTGGAAATGAAGAATTCAATGGAACAAGTGAAGAATGTGGTGGAAAGCCTTAACAACAGTCTTGGTAAAGCAGAAGAAAGAATATCCAAGTTAGAAAACAAATCTCTGGAAATTTTACAGTCAGACCAAAAACAAGAAGAAGAAATTAGAAAACTAAAAAGCAATGTTAGAGATATACAGGATACTATCAAATGACCCAACATACAGGTTGTAGGAGTTCCTGAAGATGTGGAAAAAAAGAATGGATTAGAAATCCTCTTTAGTGAAATAATTACGATAAAACTTCCCTTATTTGGAGAAAGAAAGGGACATCCAAGTACAGAAAGTACATACAGCTCCTAGTAGATATGACCAGAAAAGATCTTCACTGCAACACACTGTAATCAAACTCTCCACAGTAAAGCATAAAGAAAAGATTCTAAGGATAGAAAAAGTTATTCCATGCCAGCAGAAACCAAAATAAAGCTGTGTAGCTATCCTAATATCAGACAAAATAGACTTTAACACAAAAACGATTAAAATAAATGAAGAAGGGCACTATGTAATGATTAAGGGATCAATTAAACAGGAAGATGTGACTATTATAAACATATATGCACCTAATTAAAGGGCAGCTGGGTATTTAAAAGAAATGTTAAGGGATCTAAAGAGAGACATAAACTTCCATACAATAGTAATAAGGGACTTCAATACCCTACATTCAGTAATGGACAGATCAACTAGATGGAAAATCAGCAAGGAAACAACAGAATTAATTGACACTAACCAGATGGGCCTAATAGATATCTACAGAACTTTCCATCCTATAGTCACAGAATACACATTTTTCTCCCAAGTGCGTGAAACTTTCTCTAGAATTGACCAAATGATATGCCATAAAACAAGTCTCAGAAAATTCAAAAATAATTGAACCATACTATGCATCCTCTCTGACCACAATGGAATGAAGCTGGCAATCACCAACTCAGGACTCTCTAGAACATATGCAAACACATGGAGATGGAACACTATATTCCCAAATGATTTCATGGAAGAAATCAAAAGTAAAATCAAAAAGATTTCTGGAAACAAATGAAGATGACAGTGTAACATATCAAAACTTATGGATTACAGCAAAAACAGTGTTAAGAGGAAAGTTTTTAGTACTTGGTGCTTATATCAAGAAATTGGGGGGTGGAGCCAAGATGGCGGAATAGAGAGGACGCACACTGATAGTCTGGGAAAAGATAGGTTAATAAAAGTGGAATTACGATAATCTCCGGGAAAGGCACGGGGAAAAAATTGCAGAGGAAACTCTTCCGGATCTAGTGGATGTGACACGGACGACCTGCGGGGAGAGCAAGGATGACCATGGCTCCAAAGCCAAACAGCGGAGTCTATGCATCTGCGCTGGAAGGGGAGGTGAGCTCTGTCACCCGAGACATTGGCGGGGAAACTGGCTTGAAGCCCCGCTGGGGAAAGTTAACCAGACTAACTACAGGAGAGAGGGGAAAAAAAAGGGGGGACCAGTACTGTCTCTCTCTGCCCACCTTGCAAAGGTGAGCATGAGACAAAGAGCAGGAGCCATTTTGGGCATACGTAAAAGGTGCGTGACCTCAGGGCTGTGCACGAAATCAGAGCTGCGCCTGCCCCCAGTCAAACAGAAAAACCTGACTCGGGGGGGTGGGGGGGAGGGTGAAATAACAGGAGGTTAGGACTTAGTGAAATGGTGGAGCTAATGAACTGAGGTGGTGAAAAAAGAGACGGTGGGAGAGAGAACTCATGGAGTTCATGTGAGTACTCTCCAGAGATGCTACAATTCGGTAACCTTGGCAATCCGGTGGGAGACTGCAGAAGAATTTCAGCCCATACTGAGGGCAGCACAGATTCTTTGTGTGGTCCTGGGGAAAAAGCAGACAAATGATATACCCACAGAAAGCAGAGATCGGAAGCTGACTACCTTCAATTCCGCTCAGCTGTGCAGTATTATTCCCTCCTGAATCAAAAAAATATAAATAAATAAATAAATAGAGAGAGAGAGAGAGAGAGAGAGAGAGATTTACCACACCTAACCTGAGCATGTCACCTTTGGCACACCCCTAACCCTGAAGAACCAAGCAAAGCTCTCTGGCCACACCCATCTCAAGCCTTCTCTAGGATTGACCACATACTAGGCCATAAAGCAAGTCTCAACAAATTCAAAAGAAATAGAATCATACGATGCAGCTTCTCAGACCATAAAGGAATGACATTGGAAATTAGCAACTCAGGAATCCCTAGAACATATGCAAACACATGGAGATTGAACAACATGCTCCTGAATGAACACTGGGTCATAGAAGAAATCAAAAGAGAAATCAGAAACTTTCTGGAAGTAAATGAGGACAACAGCACAACATATGGGATACAGCAAAATCAGTGTTAAGAGGAAAGTCTATAGCAATAGGTGCCTACATCAAGAAATTGGAAAGGCACCAAATAAATGAGCTTCCAATGCATCTCAAGGATCTAGAAAAACTGCAGCAAACCAGACCCAAATCTAGCAGGAGAAGAGAAATAATTAAAATCAGAGAAGAAATCAATAGGATTGAATCCAAAAAAATCAGTCAAAGGAGGAGCTGGTTTTTTGAAAAAATAAACAAAATTTACACCCCACTGGCCCAACTAACTAAAACAAGAAAAGACCCAAATCAATAAAATCAGTAATGAAAAAGGAAATGTAACAACAGACACTACAGAAATAAAAAGAATCATCAGAAATTACTACAAGGACTTGTATGCCAGCAAACAGGGAAATCTATTAGAAATGGATAGATTCCTAGACACATACAACCTACCTAAATTGAAGCAGGAAGACAGAAAACCTAAACAGACCCATAACTGAGTCAGAAATTGAATCAGTAATAA